TCGACTTACTCTTCATATGCATATGCTTATCTGGATTAAAAGTGCTCTATCACCTCAGGAAATTCGTGATAAAATCATGGACCCAAATTCAGACTTTCAGAAGAAAATTGTTGAGTATTTAGAAAGTGTTCATGTTGGAGAATTTCTTACAGGATCCAAAGATGAAGTCAAAGAAAATATTGAGACTGTTAAAATGAATAAAGATTATCAAGATCCAACTCAGACACTGCCTGTTCCACCACCACCAGAATGTAAAGACTTGTCATGCGAAGGAACTTGTTGCAACTGTGCTGAGCTTGAGACTTGGTGGTCAAAATTCAAGACTACAGTGGATGATCTTATTTTCCACTCTAATGTTCATACTTGTCGAGGCCAGAATTCAGATGAGAAGGCAGCTAAAAAGACTTGACCAGGCTGTATAAATAAACATGGAAACTGTAAAGCCCATTTTCCAAGACAGACCCATAATCAGACTGAAGTAGATCCCAAGACTGGAGCACTTAATATCAAGAAAGGAGAGGCTTGGATCAATACATTGACTCCAGTTGTAACCTATCTTCTACAATGCAATACAGATGTTACAAGTCTTTTATCAGGTACTGCTATTAAAGCTATTGTGGCTTATATATCTGACTATGTGACCAAGCCAGGCTTGAAGATTTATAGCATCTTTGATGTTGTAAGAACCATCTTTACAAAAAATAGTGAAATGTTGAGCAGCTCATTAACTCGAGTAGAAAAGGCACATAAGCTAGTGACTCAAATGGTGAATGGATTTACTGCCAAGATGGAAATTGGAAGTCCAATGGCTGCATTATATCTTCTGGGAAATCCTGACCACTATACCAGTCATAAGTTCATTACTGTCTACTGGAAGAATTATGTTAGAGAAGTTCTGAAGTCCTGGAAATCTGATGAAGTACTTGATGATTTGATTCCAGAGAAAGTAGTTCTGCAAAAGACAAAAAGTGGACAGTATGTTGGATTTTCAGCAGTGCATGACTATGTCTATTGACCAGCTGCATTTGAAGATAAGACACTATATGAGTGGATTCAAATGAGTATTAAAATTAAAGCTTCTCGCTCTCAACAACATGATAAAATTGAATCAGATGATGAACTTGATTTATTTGCTCAGCCATCTTCTGAAGCTAAAGTTGAAACTGCTAGCCCTTTAAAATTCAAAGCTATAGTTGAAGAGATGTAGATGAAATTAAAGATGAACTTAATATACCTTTC